GTTAAGTTTGCAAATGAATTGTAGCTCTGCAGTTTCTCTTTGAAGTCTGTTTTTGAAGTTGTTTTTTGTTGAAGGATGGCTACTTTTAAATATGTTATGGAATGTCCAGGGAGATTGAAGTGTTCTCCTACTGGCTTTTGTATGTTACCATTCCTGATGTCTGATTTGTGTCCATTTATTCTTTTCTGTAGAGACTGTCCACTTTGGCCAATATACATGGCAGAGGGGCATTGCTAGCACATGATGGCATATATCACATTAGTAGATATGCAAGTGAATGAGCCCCTAATGGTGTGGCTGATGTGGTTGGGTCCTCTGATGGTGTCGCTAGAGTAGATATGGGGACAGAGTAGGTAATAGAGTTTGTTACAGGGATAGGTTCCCGGGTTAGTGTTTCTGTGGTCTGGTGTGTGGTTGCTGGTGAGTATTTGCTTCAGGTTGTCCGTAAGCGAGGACTAGCCGGCCTCCCAAGGTCTGTGAGAGTGAGGGATCTTTTTCCAGGATAGGCTGTAGATAGTTGATGATGTTCTGGAGAGGTTTTAGCTGGGGGCTGTACGTGATGGCCAGTGGTGTTCTGTTATTTTCCTTGTTGGGCCTGTCCTATAGTAGGTGACTTCTGGGTACCCATCTTGCTCTGTCAGTCTCTTTCCTCACTTCCCCAGGTAGGTTTGTAGTTTTAAGAATGCTTGATAAGGAATGCTTGTTTTGGGGGATACAGACTAACATGGCTGCCCCTCTGATTCTAAATGTGGTTTGCTGCATTTAAGTTTGTAAATATAAATGCATTAATGAAGAAATCTAAATGAATTATATGGTTGGAATCACAGGTCTGCCTTGCACAGTGTAAAGCAAACTGGTTGGCCTTGAACCAACATCCCTTTCCCTGTATTCCTTAGATAACAGCACATACACCTCAACAATAATCCTATAACATCGCATGCACTTCACTCTTCCCTCCCTTTCTCTGTCTCTCTTACCCTCCACTCCTCCCTCTCTTGTTTTTTGTGCCTCTGGTTCCCATCTATTGTCATATTTTGAAATACCAGAAGTGAACAGAGCACTGAAAAGTGAGTGATTTGTCACAAACGAGGTCCCTGCCTCAGAGAACTTACTGTCTACATGCACTATGGAAAACAACATAGTGAAATACCCAACATCTTCAAGAGACAGGTGGCTGTTGTAAGTGAAAAGTGTCACAGAAGAGAGGTTATTTCAGAATACTCTCTCTTCCCCTCTTCCTCCTCTAATATCTTTCTCTTGTTTTCTCCTCAATTCTGCTTTTTCTAACCACCCCACCTTCCAAGCATTACCATAGCTTTCCACAGTTATAAATTATAACTACAACATGGCTCCACTAGATCTTTCCAAAAGGGTAGCCTGAGTTGCACTCCAGCACAATCCTTCAGACTCTAACTGCCATTAGGAGGCCAAAGACGTAGGGGAGCTCTGCCAAAGGTTGTGGCAAAGCAAAGAAGAAAAGGCATTTAGACCAAGCTCATTAGCTGTTAAGGTTGGAAGTTGTTTAGACAGTGATTTTCCTGAGGCTGCAGAAGCCTTTTATTTAATAAAATAAAATAATCATAAAGTCAAACCCAAACTATTAAGTGGAACTTGGAGTTTCTTGTGAAAAGGAAGTGGCTCAGCGTTGGGTAAAAGGCTTGTGAAAACTGTCGCTGTGCCAGTTCTTCAGTGGGAGAAAGGAGGGCCTGAAGCCATGGACGAGAGGAAGTTCAGCCCGCACGTGTTTAAAAAAATCTGAGAACAATTGTAGCATTTCATAAAGATATGCTTCAATGTACACTACAGATAGACCCCAGAAATACAAGACTTACATTTTGATCGTTTATCAGAAAAACAAGTTAGAAGAAAGAGCATATTATGACACTGATCGTTATAAAGCCCCATAGCATATGCCAGACTGCATTAGGCCCTGATATTACAAGCTGTTCTGTGCAAGTGGACTTGAGAGCGACAGACACCGCATTGAAAAAGTGACCCAAATGGAATTTTTCATGGATGCAAATGTCTCCCTGTACAGACCGAGTTGCAGGAATGGAGCCTAAGACAGTGCACTCAGTAACATGGAGATGTTTTACTTCAGTATCAATATAGAAGTTTTCAATGTTCATTAGAAAATGGGTACGGAACAGCTACAAATAATATTACTCCTATATTTATTACTGACACACTGCAGATGGCCACATATATTTCATTTCTTGAAATTTCTAACAATATATAAAAAGTCATCTTTCCCAGGCTCTAGCTATCTTTGACATTCTTTAAAAACTTAGGTCAAGATTCTTAAATGTGACTAGTGATTCTAAATGCCTCAATGTTGGGATGCGCAACCTAAGACACCTTACAGGGGTCTGACTGGGAGAGGGTGGGTGCTTGGCACTTTGAGAGAATCAGGCTGTTTTAAAACATTTCAGGTTGGGCCCCACAAATTGAGCGCCCTCCCCAAAAAAAAAATTTACTAGGCATATTTGAATCTTGGCCACAAATCATAATGTAAAGACAAACCCAGCAACAAACTCACCATTGACTAACAATAACCAGCAAACTATTTCTGTAGCAAGAATAAAGACCCTCTCCTCCCCTCCGAGTATAACCCCGGGCAACAAACCACTCGAGATAAGACCTAGCACCTACTCCATCCCTACCAGCCAATGGTAACCAATACAAAAAATATCAAGTCCACCAATACACCTGTCCTAACAGAAAGATCCACCCCCATCAAACTCTTCCCTACCCTATAACAAGAAAAATAGATAGGCATTGAAAGTGTCTTGAAAGTCAAATGTAAGCTATTTCACACATGGGGGGAGAAGGAAGGTTACAATGACTGATCATAATTGTGTCAGTAAGGCATGGGGACAGGAATCTCTCAAATAAGCATGTGCCAAATTATATAGGGAAAAGCAACGCCTTAAATTCCACCTAGTAACCAACAGGCTGACAGTGCAGATCCAAGAGCCCTGGTGTTTTGTGCTCCCTCTGAGATACATCTTTGATTTTAGTCCCAAAGGGACCTACAGTGCTTACACTGTTGGATATTTGATATAGGGGATTCAGTAAATCAATATGGTATGGCTAATCACAAGCAACAACAACTAGCTCTTGTACAGCGCTTTTCATCTGTAGATTTCAACATGGGTTACAAAGGTGGTAAATAGCTTTATCCCCATTTAACAAAAGGAGAGACAAAGACACAAAGGGGTGAAGTGACTTGCCCAAAATCGAAGAGGAAGATGTGAGAAGAAAGAATTCCCTCCAAGAAATGGAGACCGAGCAAAGTTTTAAGCCAAATATTTTCTCCCTCATAATTCTCCAATACCTTAATGCCATTTCAGTATTTGAACTTTTACTGACTTTATTCTGTTTTTCTGCCTGCTGTGGCTCCTATAACAATTGTATTAGCAACTTGATAGGGAGGAACTTGCCGAAGCCAGACCAGTCTACGTAAAAAAGAAGATAAAATCTGTGTTTTGAGGAAAAGTAGTGCTACTCTCTGCCCCTCATCCAGCCCCCTCTGTTAGCCATTGCATCGACTCACAATAGGGATGGCAACGGAGGCTGGCATTGACCTGCTGTTGCTGAAGAAAAGGGAGCAGCAACTGTAGACGTGAGTTATAAAAATGAAAAATGGGAGAGCAGATAAAAAAAGAGAAATCTGCTCTTTTGCTTTATAGTGCAAGATTCGCTTGTTTCCATATAATATCCAACAGCTACTAACCAGATCTACTTAGTGCCCACTCTCTGTAGGCTCTCAAGGATTACAGAACTAATACCCAGACTCTAAACCAGCTAAAACATGTTAGCAACTAAGGGTCTGATTCTTCTATCGGTTACACCAGTGTAAATCAGGAGTAACTCCATTGAAATCAATTAGTAATAAATTATTAATAATACACCTGTGTAAAACGGCTGTAGATGAGGGGAGAATCAGACCATGCCATTTGCTACTATCTGGAATTAAGTAAATTAATGCCCAATTTTAGGATGAACATTGCTTATCAAACAGCTGTCGTAGCTAACATCCTCAATTATATAAACTATCTAACCGGAACGGTGGTAGAGGGTCGGGGGCAACCATGCTGCAACATTGTGCCTTCTTTAATTGAAAACTGTATCATCATAGGATCCAGATTCTTCAGATGCTGATGGCCATTTATAATACTTACTTCTGTGAGTATTGCCATTGACTTAATTGACTACTCTCAGTAGCAAGCACTACACCTAGCTGTCAATGTTGCAGGATCAGGCCCTTAGACTGTACGATTCTTTTTCAAGACCGACCAGTGAAGACTGATCTAACTTCACTTATAATGGAAAGTAGCTGCAGACCATTCTAAATTCTGTCTCTCTAATTAATTTTCACTAACTACAAAGCTGATGTACCAACAAAATTACTTTATTTCTTGAAAACTGTCAATGGTAATTACATACATTTTACAATTGTCCATCACTCCAGTCAGTTTTTGGATTTCTTTCTAGACTCTTTACAATACAAATCTAAATTTGAGGAACTGTATGCCATCTGCATCAGGGAGTGACTTAAATACAAAGAGATCTTTATTGTTTAAAGATTCCTTCAGTGAGATTTTTAATGTTTTTAAACAGTGAAGGAATAAAGTGTTGACTCATAAACAATGAACTGGGATTCTACTGAACTGATATTTATGAGAGCTCCAAATCAATTATTTTTTCCAAACTATTTGAATAAAAGACAATTAAAATATAAAATGCAAAGCTTTCTTTAAAAAAGTTTATACAACGTTCACAGATGGCTACACAGGAAACATTTTTTCTCTTGCACATTCTAAGCCACGTCGTCCTGTTCTAGTGGAGCCTTTGCCACATTATGGCTGCGGCTCCAATATGTTATAGTTTCTGGACAACATTGTCAGTTCTCCTCTTTGCAAAGCTTCAACATTCTGTTTTGCTGAAAGAACTTTATGGTACCATATTTAGAAAATGAAATATCAGTTGGTACGTACCTTTGACAAAAACATTGTTGTCCAGAAGGGCAAAGCCAAATGCCAAGAGTTCAAGCCACAAAAACATGGTCATAACTGGAAATCAGGCGTACCCTTATGAAACAGCATGTGTCTCTCTCTGGAAAGCAAAATAATTGTTATCTTTCTATAAAAGTATTTCTCGGCAAAACTTGAATCAAAAGCAGAATAACTGTGCACATACATTGCAGTGCCTGCTTATCAGTCAGGGAGCAGTTTCCTCTGTCACCCAAAGACTAACCACTCGCGATCTCACTATATAACTAAGTGATGTCAGAGACAATCTTACCTACTTCTTTAAAACACCACTTTTTTTTTCTTTTCAGTTTCCAGGAAGTCAAGAGGGTTTTTCTTAAGTTGCTGCAGTAATGTGTAACTTCCTTAATTCAACCGAATAGATCATTTTTAACCATTTCTGCAGAAGAACTGAAGAAGAGTTGAAAAGAATTTCATGTTTCAAAAGATGGGACAGTAAGTAAAGACCTTAGTACTTCTAATATTAGCTTTTCTGTAACTTAGCTCTGTTCCAGTGCCTGGTCATTCATGGTATAGCTTTCAAGCTATACCAGACAAGAAAAAATATCCTTCTGAGGACATAATGAATCCACATATTAAATTGACAATACAGCCATAATAAAAATACCTAGTTCTTATTGAAGTGATTATCGGTTAAATGAATAACATTTGAACATTGATCTAAAAAGTACTTTTGTTAACAGTCTCTCTGCAAAAATGCAATTCCTAACATGACAGTACTCAATACCAAGTAGCTATGGATGGCCTATATTCTGTTTCTTGTGCTGTTCTGTACCTAGGAAGTCAGCATGCTGTAGTTCTCTAAGGCTTTCATACCACCACCTACAATGTGCTGAATCTGAATTTTGGCATAGTCAGTTCCACAAAAAGTTGACACATCCCTATGATGGAATATTTAGTCCCTTTCTAGTATTTACCAGGGGGCAGCACAATCCTGGAGGACTTTGGTCTCTCCTGCTGAGTACCAGGTAAAGGACTGCAGATGTCTTCCCTCATTGCAGTCACTGCAACGGAACCCAATAACTCACTACGGTCCTGTTGGATGGTAAAGAGCAGAAGAGAGGTTAAAAGGGGGGAAAACGCTGAGGTTGCCTCTTTCATTTGGGGGTTTGAACCAACTACCATCAGTTTAGTGGTCAACATTAAGATAGCCAACATTTACCAGCAGCACCATGAGTTCGGAAGATTGCTAAAAAAAGGGAAGAAAGCCTCATTCATTTATGTAAAAGAATGGAAGATGTGGAGTTTGTGCACTCTCTGATGTCATTTAGACAGATTTTTGTTCCAGCAGTTACCAAGGTAACCCATAACACAGTTTTCAGAGTAACAGCCGTGTTAGTCTGTATTTGCAAAAAGAAAAGGACCTGTGGCACCTTAGAGACTAACAAATTTATCTGAGCATAAGCTTTTGTGAGCTACAGCTCACTTCATCGGATTAAGCTTTCGTGAGCTACAGCTCACTTCATCAGATGCAATCCGATGAAGTGAGCTGTAGCTCACGAAAGCTTATGCTCAAATAAATTTGTTAGTCTCTAAGGTGCCACAAGTACTCCTTTTCTTTTTCCATAACATAGTGTAATACATGTAAATTTGCATACATCATCCCCAGTACGGAAAATCACAAAATGCTCCAAAGTGAATCAGTTAAGGAGAACAGGAAGGTCTAAAGACGAGCTTTGAAGAGACAAAGGACTCAATGATGCAGAGGAAAGGGAGAGAGAATTCACCATCGATGACAAAGGTCTGAAATTGTGGATATTAGCAGGTTAGAGACAGAGAGCAGGCCAGGGATAAAGGAACATTGTGAGGAACATGGTGAAGGGAAAGTGTACTAGATCCGTGGTGAATTTGAAAAAAAATCAGGAGGGCAGTTTTGAAGTGAATTCTGAGATTAACATGAAAACAATGAAGATGATGGAGGATGGGGTTGATTTTAATTCTATTTCCTGCCCTGCCATAAACTTCTTGGGAGATCTTGGGCTCTGTGCCTCAATTTTCCCATATGCAAAATGGAAATAAGACTACTATCACTTGTCTAATCCACAGGGATGTTGTGAAGTTTAATAAATTAATTAATGGCTGTAAAGTGCTTTGAGATCTTCAGCTGGAAAGTGCTATAGAAGTGCAAAGTATTGTTAATAATTATATTTTTCTGCTTCCTCAATCAAGAGAATTATCTGGCTAAAGCAGAGATTAAGAATACTTGGTGTATTAAGAGCATATCAAATGAACGTGATGTATTAATAAAATTCCATTTCAGGCATGGCCACAAAGGAGTAAACTAGACTAAAGAGGAATTAAATCACATATAATTAGGGCTCCATGTTTGTTATGGAAGTCGTGGAAGTCACAGATTCCGAGACCTTCCGCAACCTCCGTGACTTCTGCATTGGCTAGTGTGGATGAGCCAAGGGCCACCCAAGCAGTTGGCACCAGTCGATGGTGGAGCAGCTCTGCAGCCAGCCGCTGCTCAGGCGGTCCCTGGGGCCAGCCACACTGTCCGCTGCTCAGACAGTCCCTGGGCTGGCCGGAGCAGCCGCTGTCGGCAACCCCCGGCAGCGGTCCCCAGGTGGCTGGAGCAGCTGCTGCTCCGGCAGCCCTGAGCAGCGGCTGCTCCAACGGGCCCTGGCAGCGGTCCCCCAGCAGCTGGTGCTCTGACAGTCCCCGGCAGCTGGTGCTGCTGGCCCCTGCACCCCCAGCAGTGGCTCCCCAGGATTTAGTCATGGGTATTTGTAGTAAAAGTCATGGACAGGTCATGGGTCATGAATTTTTGTTTATTGCCCGTGACCTGCCCATGACTTTTACTAAAAATACCCATGACTAAATCATAGCCTCACATATAATTAAAGACTAGAGCTGATCAAAATGTTTTAAATAATTTTATTTACTTGATAAGTGATCATTTTTTCTATTCGGATTTTTCATCATTTTATGGTGGGGTTTTTTCAATTAACTTGGAAAATGAAAAATTTAGACAAACACTGGGGGGGCAATTAAAGACTTTCTGTTTTTAGTCTTAATTTTCCTTCTTTGCCTCCTTTTAGAGAGAGGAAAAGGAAAAGAGAGAAAAGCATGGAAAAGCAAAAACCAGAATATTTCAAAACCCAAAAATTATTTCGAAATTTTCATACAAAATTTCCAATGAATGAAAAATCATCCCTTTTCTAAATCTGGAGAATATAAGGGCTTAGAATTTTTCCGAATTTTGTATAAAATATTTTTCCATTATCTGTATTCAGGACACAAATTGAACACTTTCCAAAAAAAAAAAAAAAAAAAAGGAACCAGCCAAAGGGGAATAATTACCGCTGCTCAGTAATAAGTTTTACATAACAAAGACAAATAAAAGACTTTGCACATGTTTGTACCAGATTGTAACAGAAGATTAGATACACATAAGGCAACTCTTGTCTCTCTAATCCAGAGTAAAATCATGAAGTCGTAAAAATTAAAGATAGGAAAGATTTATTAAACTGGCCATCCCCATGCCACGTAAGGATTGTTTTCTACAATGATCTGTCTAACACTTGGTCCCATATGATTTTAAAAGACTCAAATGGCTGGGTTTCCAGTTTTTCATTTGGGGGTTTACTCTACAATCTAATACATCTCAACTCTAGTAGATTTTTCCTGATTTTCAGCCAAAATTCTCATTTGCTCAGTTTCATTCTTTTTGGTTACAACAAATAGTATCGTTATAAACAATTCTTATCCCTCTGCGGCATATACATCCTTCAAATGCTTGCAGACACTCAAATCATACTGCTCTACAAAACCATGTTCTGAAGTGTCCCTAGCCTCTGTTTACCAGAAGCTGGAAATGGGCGATCGCAGATTGGATCACTTGATGATTTTCTGTTCTGTTCATTCCCTCTGAAGCACTTGGCATTGGCCACTGTCAGAAGACAGGATACTGGGCTAGATGGACCATTGGTCTGACCCAGTCTGGTTGTTCATCTATTCTCATATACACAGTAGATGCCATCTTATCATTGCCACATAGAGGTCATAGCACTACCATATTTACTGTGGGCCAGAAGGGTCATGAACTGGAGTAATGCTAAGCAAAGAGCAGCAACCTATGGTCAAAAGCAATAAAGAAAATGGATATACAGATTATCTTTCCCAAAGTATTTTTGTCTTGGTTTCAATGTGACACAGTCCTGTATTTCATTGGGCTCACTGAATGTTCTCTTATCACTTGTTTCCAGAGCATTCTTCTCCGTACTTTAAGATTTATCGGTTTACTGAGTTTGGTACCAGTGCTTTAGGCAAACAATAGGGATTGTGGGTGATACTGTAAAAATTTGATCCTTTAGGTGAATCATGCCAAAGGGCAAGATACCTGTCCTAGTGCAGAATATGTGCATTAAGAGACTGTCATCTCACTTTGTGATTCCTTTGTACATGTAGTTTACAACTGCAATGCCTGCAATGTTTGCAGCTGTGTCACATTGTAGGTCTCTGTGTCCTGTTTACTGTACACTATGCCTTCTGTCTTTTATGCCATTGCTGCTTTCCAAGTATTTCCCATTCAATATCTGCATTTCAGGCTATCTTCTTTCACTGTAACAGTTTGTATATTCTTAGGTTGAATCTCAGTTTTATTTTCTGTCCCTTTATTGCACCCTCCTCTTTTTTTTTTTTTTTTTTGGTCATTTCACTGTCCTCTCTGATACTACTTTGGGAAATATTGCATACATCTATTAATTTAATTACTGTTTACCTCCAGCACCTTGGTCTGTCTCCTCCCCTGCTTGCTACCTACCCAGAGCTGGATGCATTGTCAGACGGAAGGCTATAAAATTGTAAATATTTATTATTATTATTATCCCTAAAACTAATCCATCTGTGCTGTCAAATATTAGTTTATTACCTCATTGGAAGATCAAATAAGTGAAGATGGGTAGACAGCTACTGTGCTGTGACTGTTACTTATTGAACTAACCATAGCAGTGTAGTGTAACTTTGTGCTCCTCTGCAAAGGGGACAGAGAATAGTGCTCTTGGCTTACGCTCAGAGTTCCTAGATACAGGGACTGTCTTTTTGGTGGTTAGGTGTGCACGCACATGTGTCCACATGTATTCGTACAGTACCTAGCACACTGGGGCCCAAATCCCTGTCTGGGATCTGTAGGCGCAAATAAATAAATAAATAAATACAGGCTGTGAAGAAGGAAGTCTTTACTTAACCAAAACCAGAGTGGATAGTTAGGAAAATAGTGGAAGCAAAATTAT